CAATGCATCATTTTTTATAAGTTGGTCTCATACATAAAATCTTATTTTGCAACTACAAGAAACAGAGCTGTATGAAAAGTGGGGAAAATGGACGTCATTCCGAACCAGAAATAGCGACAAAGACAATGGAGAACGGTAACAGAATTAGTTAATGAAAAAAAACGTATTCTGCAAAGTGAAGGGAAACTGTAGCTATCTGACATGCATGACTTGAGAAGTAGTAATAGAAGAAAATGCACAAACTCAACATCAACCTCAATCTGAACCAAAAATCATATTGTGAAATACCAAAATGTCGTAGAGGTGAGAAATAATACAATGTGTTTTGTTATGTGCTTGTGAGTCTGCGTGTATCCATGCGTGTACAGGTGTCTGAGAGTCAGCTGCTGAGTTGTGTGTCTCTGTCTGTGTGTCCGCCCTCATGTCATGTTTTCATAACACCACTAAAGAAAATATCTCTCCTGTTCATTGAAAGATTTTAATCTCTTCACATGCAGAAGGCCCTCACTGTAAATAAGTTGTTGCCTGACACACGCTTTAATGGAGGTGTCGCCCCTTCATCCAGCTTTTCCTGTTTCTGAGCTGAGAGAGGTGTCAGTTATTATGTGCATTGTGTGCAGATAATTAGAGGTAAAGAGGAGCGTGCATTGTCAGGATGAGGTGTTGACAGCATGTACACATACTAGGCTATATATCGTGTGGCATGCTGCAGACATTTGAGTGTGTCACCGGGCGTGTGCTGTGTATGTGATCACGAGGGTCAGTAGAAAATGGAACTACCAACAGAACACAATCCTTTGGTTTAGTTAAATGTTAAATAAAAGGCAGAGTGCACATTGTGTTGAGACGTGTCTCCGTTTCTTTTATCTCCGTCTGTCCTTTACTCTCCATCCCTTCCTTCACACTGTCTTCTCTGTTTCAGCCCCTCATGTGTGTCTCCGTAAATAAGCAGAAGGCCAACAACTCTGTCCTCCAGCCGTCTCCCGCCATCCTGTTGCCATGGTGTATGGAGCATTGTTTGCTGGCCTCTATGTCAGGTTGCCATGGCAGGGCCTATTTGCCATATTAAATGTTTGGCAGCATTGTACAGATGCTGATGACAAACACCCAACATCCCACTTTGATCAATGAAACGGTTACTGATTAGAGGAGATGGGAGGGAGCCGCTGATCTGTTTAACAGCCACAGTTATAGATTTCATGTAGTGATGTTGCACATGCTTACATACAAAACACAACTGTATAAAATCAGAAGGGCACAGTATAAAAACAAATAGAGGTTAAATGTGGGGCTTTTTCTGTTATTTGACACATTTTTACTTGTTATCATTTTTGATGTGATAGATTATTGATAGATTATTCCTGTCAGCATGATGTGTGGCTGAAATGTAAAATAATAAGCATATGGGGGTGGTGTGTGTTTACAGGTTAGGTTGTGGTTGCTAGTGTTAGTGGAGCTCCTTCTCACATAAGGCTTCTGAGTCTGTCCCCCTTGTGGCAAGAGGTGAGACTGCATGGTGGCCTTGATTTGTTTAATGTCTTCATTTTTACATGACAAACTGCTTTATCTCCCCCATTATATTATAATATTTATATTATATTACTATTATACATATGGTAACTACATCACATAGCATGTGTTGTGTCAGAAGATTTCAGTGCTTCCTGCCAAGTGTGCATGCCTGAAAAAATTTAAATAATTTGAAAAAAATCAGAGAAAGTGCAAAAGTATAATCAGATCATTGTTTTCTTGACTCATTTCTTTGAGGATTTTATATCTGATTTTTTATAGTGAACCCACATCAGGTTATTTCAGGTCCAGCCTGCACCAGCTTTGAATTCACACTGCTGTAATGTGTGAGAGCTGTTTGGTTGCCAACAGATAGCATGAAAATGCTGCCGATTGACGTAGCTGCAGCCTGATAAGATCTCATTGCTCCATTGTAGACTCACTGTGGTGGTTTTAATGGTTTGCTTTTCTTCTGCTCTCGGTGAAAGGCTTGCGGTGTGCTGTTGCTAAAGTGACGTGCATTAGCATACCTGTAGTCGGAGAGTGCATCATGTGGCGCACGAAATCCTTAATGTAAACTGTTACTACACTGTGTGTTTAGATAACAGGCAGAATAGGAGCTCTGTCGCTCTCCTGCTGACCCACCAGTGCCCTCACTGGAAAAATCCTAATATGCTCAAAGTGCAGCGCAGGTCAAAGCTTGTGCTCTTTCTACATAAATACATGTCATCCTCTGTTATGTAGCAGGACTTATACAGTGATGATCATTTCACTGACTGTGTCTGTGTCTCTCTTGTGTTTTTCAGATGATCCTATGGGACTGGGATCTGAAACACTGGTACAAACCACAGTATCAGGTCAGTATTTTAGCTCACATGTTGTGACGGTACATGTGTCTGTTAGCATACAGCTAATAAAGAACCTTTCAGACAGAACAGTCTCTGTAGTGAACTAGTAGCAGCTGTCCATAAGTCATCTTTGGGACATTCAGTTCTCTCCCTGATATTTGACTTGTGGTTAGGCAAAATACACATTGTGTAAAACTGGCATACAGTGACCTTGACATTGTTGTCATGCCACACTTTTATCTTACTCCGACATTCTTTTGCTTGTTTGAACTATTTGTGTATCTATCAAAGAATTTAGCTCATACAGACTGAAAGTCAGTGTTTGTCTCTTAGAGAAGACAGAGCCAGTCAGAATATTTTCCCTCAGAAAGCCTGTCAAACTATGGGGGAGGCAAACTATTCCTACAGTTTATGGGATATGATTTTAATATAAGCATAGCACTACACCTAGATTTAGTGTATTTTCCCCCAGATATACAGAAGTCATGATAAATGAATAAGTGCGACAACAGGAGAGGAATGAGGTGAGAGAGGAAGTTAGAAGTATTAACTTTCAGCAGAGTCAGTCGTGGGAAGTTAGGATCGCTTAAAAAAATGAAAATGGAGCAGAGTAAAGTTGAGGGAAAGGTGGGAGGTCATCAACAGCACCATGGGCCTGATGTCATCCCTCCTACCACAACTTCACTATTCCAAACGCAGTCCACTCCAGCAGGAGGCCAGTGGATGTACACATGGGAAAAAAACTGTGAGGGCAAAACTATCCCACAAAGACGCTCATGCTGCTTTCAGACATGCACTGAACTCCAGACATTTTCCAGAAATTATTCAGAGGGGCTGTATGTGTGAACACAAATGTCCAACTCCAGACTTTCTCCAGAACTTTTCTTGCCAGCCCCTAGTGTTCTGTCTGGAAAAAGTCCCAGAGTGAGCCCATGTGAGAATACAGCAGGAAATTAGTTTTTTCTTCTTATGAGCTGCACTGAAGTGCATTTGCTTCCCTCTTCACCTAACCTGTGTGACGTACATGTGCATGCGGCAGGGAGCGGTGAGTGGCAACGGCGTGGATCTGTCAGTCATCAACGAGGCTCGGAACTTGGTGTCGGACCTGCTGATGGACTCGTCTCTGTCGCCCCACACCATCTCAGCTCTGCGCAGCATCTCCAGCCTCATGGGGACGTTCTCAGGCTCGTGTCGTCCCAGGGTAAACCCCTTCACCCCCTTCCCAGGTTTCTACCCCTGCGACGAGGTGGAGGATGCTGTAGAGAGGACAGACAGGAAAACCATTAAGGTGAGCAAGCATTACACCCGCACCAGTATGGAAACATTAAACTGATGAGTAAGGAACTTCGGTATCTTTACTTCGAATGAATGCCTGGTAGATAACAGAATTTTCATTTTTAGGGACCTGAATCAAGATCCACATTTTTTAATACCATCTGAGTTTATCACTTCCTTTTATCGACGCCGGCATGTTCTTCTTACAGTTGTACATTCCAAAACAATGATCGTGCATGAAGTGCGTCTACGCTGCTGGCAAGAAGGAGCCATGGCAGAGAGGAAGTAACAGACCAAAGCGTGGCTTCATTAAACAGAGAATTCTTTTTAAACAAGAGTGCTGGATTATTAAAATCTCTATAAAATTGCACTGATAGCACAACAATGGAAACACCAGCAATTTGCTAAAACAAAGTTGGGCATATATTCCAGGAATGCCTTGTGTTTTACGCACGAGTGCCACTGCTTCACAACCAAGAAGACTATTCTCCTTTCTTTTCCTAAAGTATGGTCTGATGTTTCCTATGATAGAGGAGGTAAGTAAGGAAGCATTGAAGCTCCTTTCCTTATCATTTAGAGAAATAAAACAGGTCCTATTATGGAGGCCGCTGAAATACTTCCGGGTCATTCCACTCAGTTCGGAAGGTTCCTAATTAAAATGGATTATTCAACGCACTGTCAGATTCTTTCTATGATGAAGAAAACCTGAATGAAAACAGCAAATAAACGTGTTGGTCTACTTTTTTCCACCCACACAGACTAAGATGAACAGTCAACTATGGTATTTGTGTCAATAAAATTGGTAATTGTTTTGACCCCAGGACTCTTCTACTGAAATGACTTAATGTTTAGATTTTTGCTTTGATTCTGCACAATTATGAATCTGAACATGGCTTTTAAAAAAGGCTCACAGCTTTTCGGAGCGATAATGTTCGAGTCACATAAGCAGCATCTTCAATTTGTGTATAAATTTCTCAATCAGGGTTTGAGCAGCAGAAACAGCCTCCCCACCCCTCAGCCAAGGCGGAGTTCCACCTCCTCCTCCTCCTCCTCTGCACTCTCTCCTCTGGAATCCACCTCCTCACGCTGGGAGCGCAACAATGGCAAGAGACCTCACCCTGACCTCAACCTGACCAGGTACTAACACAGAAACACATACAGTTTTCAAAATTGCTCATGTAAATTATCTGCTTTGTACTTTATGTACTACCCTGAATTGGCCCAATTTTGGATCCGATTGATGGCCCTTCTTACAAGATCTGATGGATGTTTCTTTCCTTAGCCTGAGAAAAGTTATGAATGGGCCTGCGTTTTGAGAAAAAAATCATCTTCATTAGATAAATGGTAATAGAAATCATGTGCTTCACTGGAAACTTTGTATGTACATGTGTACTGAGAGGATTGTGTGAAACTTGAACATAGAAGCTATTAATGTGAGACTGAAGAATCCAAAGACAGTTAGCTACTGTGACAAATCTATATGACTGTACCATTTGTTTCCACTGACCTGTGAGAGAAGAAGGTGTCGTTAACATGTCATCGTGTCGTCTCTTCTCTGATTGAAAAGAAGAAACAGATCCACAATTTAGCCAATCAAGGACAGAGTTTAACTGAATTATGATAATGGTACTGTTTACATGTACTGACATAAAATCTGATTTCTTAAGTGATGGTAAACAACTCTTATACATGCTTTAATTTATTTGGACAACATACTTGTGCTGCGGACACCGAGGTGCAGTGTATATGCTTCTCCACAGGATGGCAGCACAGGACTGGTTATGTTGTCTGATGAGTTTCTTTGCACTTTAGTTTCGTTGTACACTTTTTGTTCAGGAGGTGTTGTAGGACTGCTTTGTCACAACAACAGTACAGCCGTGGACTGAAATGTTTAATGCACCAAATGATGCAAAGCGTCTGATTGTAAGACAGCTTTTAAAGAATAGAAAGTTAAAAGTTATTTGAATGTGTGTTTTGTGCTCCAGCTCAGGTCTGTCCAATGGGCCCAGTGCAAACCTGCTTACCATTCCCAAGCAGAGGTCTTCCTCTGTTACCCTCACATACCACGCAGGGTCGAGGAGAGCCGGTGAGACATAACCATGAAAACTTCCCACAGATGCTGCATGATGGTCTATTGTTCATATTTTGGCTGAAAATGTTCCTTTCTCTTTTTCTGAACTCCCTCCATCCTCTCCAGGCACATCTCCAAGCCTGAGTCCAGTCACCTCACCAAGCCACAGTCCCCCCGCAGTAGGTGCGGGCTCTTCATCATCCCTCGTCACACGGTCGCCCGTGGAGTTCCCCGACACTGCCGACTTCCTGACAAAGCCCAGCGTCAATCTGAACCTGCACAAACCCCTCAACTACACCCTCAGCTCCCCTGATTTCCAGCAGGCTTTCCGTAGCTCCACCTTCCCCCTCTGCACCAGGCAAGAGCTGCTGATTTAAAGTGTCATTTTACTGATTCTTATTTTTATCCACTCCTTCAGTTACTGGTTGTTATACATGGTTGGATGCAGCAGCTGAACTGTGATTGTCGTGCCTGTCTGTTTCAGCTGTGGTCGTCAGATGCTCAAGGGAGTTTCCAGCAGCGATGCAGGGGAATCTCATCAATCACTCAGCAGTGAGGCTCAGCGTAGGCGCTCAGGTACATTTAATGCACATTATGCTGTGGAGAAGAGTGGTGGCTATGGTTTTCTATAAGCAGTTAAGGGGGTTGATGCTGCTCCGTGCTGGAATCCAACTATAAAGAAAGTTGAACCACACAAACACAGGCTGAGGTGCGGTAGAATGTGGCTACCCGAGCAGAGTGGCGGGTGCCCATGGGTCGGTCATGTTAGCTGACATATCTACAAGATTTTTTTTACTCTGCATGTGCCTTTGATCGGGGAAACCATGGAGCTCAGGTTGAGTTCACACAGAATTACTAAATGTAAAGTTGTTGAATAGCTAGACTTGCACATCTTTACTGTATACAAGTAATTCTAGTACCAAAGGCTCATTTAAAAAGTAAATGAACAGATCCTGACATACTGATTAAAAACATGTAGGTTTGTGTGTGCATGTATCCATATACTCTCCCCTTCACTGTGCAGGATGTGATCTGGAGTTCGGTGGTGAGCCCCTGATCAGGGAGGAGAGCCTGGAGGTGGACACGTCTGGAGACGGAAGGCGAGATGTTGCAGGGAACCAGGGGCAGAAAGAGGAGAAGAGCCCAAGCACAGACCAGCAGACTCAGGAATCAGAGGTGTGCTTTGTCAGACAGCTTCTGCTCACACGATGATCATCTGTTGCAACACGTGGGGCAGTTATTCTATTTGTTATGTCATTTGTTCTTTGACCAAATCAAACCCACCTGCCATTGTTGTGTTTCAGACATTTTAGCTTTTACTTTTATCTTGACTTGCTTATAAGGATTTGGAATACATACATTTGGAAAACAATATGACTTGTGGTCACTTTGAGAGTTTAACCCGCAATCCTATTAATTCATAACATTTAACTTTCTATAGTCATCTGACGGTTAATCTGCCTAATCCCACTTTATTTAACAGACCAACTTTCTAGCTGGGCCACAAGCTTTATTAAACACTTAACATGTACTATATTTTCCAGATATTCTTCAGGCAGTGCAGTCCCTGCTAGACTGTTTCAATATTCGGCATTATGTGTGTTCTCTCATGTTAAAATCATTCTGCTTGAGTGGAAATGATATTCAAGTTAATCTCCACAATTTGTGCATGTTGTGATCATCTTCAGGGTGAGCAGGAGTTCAGATTAGATCCTATGCTGGAGGACCACAAGGCTCTAATGGAGAGGATGAACACTTGGAACTTCCAGATCTTTGACCTGGTGGACAGAACGGGAGGGAAGGCCGGAAGCATACTTAGCTATGTTAGTATGAAACCATGGAAGAATGCATTGTGACTGTAACTGTATGCAGGTAGAGGTGGTGTGGACTTGATAATGAGCTCATCAGCAGGAGTACAGTTTCCTAAAGTCTAAATAAGAGCCACAGATATACAGCATTGGAAATATAAATATACAATAATTCAATTCAAATGTTTTTACAAAGTCCAGTAAGTGAAAATGATATTTCTCTGGGCTGAAATTGGTTGAAATTACGTTTTGGCAGCATAATTACTTGCACACAGTTATTTGAATGTTCCACTGAGTGGATGGAGCTGTCCTCTATTCTGATTGGTGTAACAGTAAAGCTCTCCTTTGTTTCCTCAGGTAACGTACACTCTTTTCCAGGATACGTGTCTCTTTGAAATTTTCAAGATCCCGGTGAGGGAGTTCATGACGTACTTCTCTGCTCTGGAGAATGGCTACAGGGACATTCCCTGTGAGTGTTTATGTGTATTTTTGACCGATAATTAAAGATTCTAAATCATTGCTGGTATGCATGATATAATAAACTAATTCAAACTTATTGTGGTTAAAAACACACAGATCATAACCGGGTTCATGCTACTGATGTGCTACATGCTGTCTGGTACCTGACCACTCGACCAATCCCTGGGTTCCAGCAGATCCACAGTGAGCATGTGACAGGAAGCGACACAGGTAAACAACAGTGATACAGATTTGTTCTTTCAGTTTGTGGAGTTGTTCTCTGTGATTAAGTCAGGGTGTAAAAACTTAATAAATATGTCAGGCTTGGAAAATAGTGTCCCAAATTACTCAAAGGACATTTTGTTCTACCAATCCTCATGAAAAACCTGTGGAAGAAGTTGCTGTATGAGGTGGGTGGATTTTGCATTGATTAGGAATTATCAATCAGCAAAATGATCAATCTCTGGTTGTTACCTCTTCTGTTCTGTTGTCCCAGGTTGGGCCCTATTCACAAAATAATCTAACAAAGAAATTTCTGATTAGGTGAAAGTTTTGCTCCTAAGATAAAACAATATCACTTCCTATCATTATTTTAACTGAGATGTGAAAAAGTAGATAGAACTTGCATTAAAGTATGCACTAATTTTCCTTTCTGGCTGATTGCTCTTGTTTGAAAGTGCATAAACTACGATTCCATTTTTCGCCCATTTCCTAATCTCCGAATCTCTTAATTCTAAATGCTTGTGTTTGTGACTTATGCTATTATCCCCTTTTTTTACGGGACCAGGCCTTTTCTCTACAGAACACAGGTGGCTTGGTTTAAAAAGCAGAGATTCTAAGGGACCATAGTGTGTGTGTGTGTGTGTGTGT